CCTGGGTTTTGGCAAAAGGGAGCCCCCGGCGCTGCGCATTTTAAATCAAAACTGTCAAAACCGCCCACGTTATAAAGAAGGCAGGGTGGCCGAGCATGGCGAGCATGCGGGTGGGCGAATGTCTCCTTTAGGTCATGCCCTGCAGCGTGACACTGCACCCCGAGGCAGAGGGTACCTCCAGCACAGGCCTTCAAAAGACCCGCGGATCTAACTTCACCATCTTAGGTCTATAGCAAGGTTCTCTAAGGGCCTTTATTTTTTTTTTTAAATGCTGTTTGCAGTCTTCTTTGAAAACAATGTAACAGTTTGCAGGCAACTGTTTCAAGCCGGAGTATCTAACATGTATCTAACATGCCCCCGAGGCCACACAAGGAAAGTCCTCCCTTGCTGCAGCCAGCCGAGCTCAGGCAGGGCCCAGCCACAATGCATACAGCAGGTGCCCACTCAGCGCCCGGCTGTGTCTGTCCTTGTTGCTTCTCGTGGCTCCTCACGTTCTTACAAAACCGATGGGAACCCGGGTGGAAAAGGAAGCGGCCATCCCTCAGGGGTCCCCTCCCTGGCACGGCTCAGTGAGGCAACAAGTGAAAATGATCCATTTCATTTGCATTTACTGCCCCGGCTAGGCTCTTGCAACAGTAACAGAGGAAACACATTCTTGTCCGGTGAACTCAGCCAAAACAAAGGCCCCAAACAAACGTAAACAACAATTCTTTGCCGCATCCCTTCCTATTCAAGGGCCAAGGTAAATTTGGAGAAGGGCAGAACAGTATGGCAACCACACACACACACACACACACACACACACACGCCTTTGTTGGATTGTAAACATCGTTTGCTCTTTCAGAAGAAAAAAAAAATTTTTTTTAAGGGCACTATGCCTGCATAGCTGCTGCAGGTTCCCAAGATGCTTTTTCCAGCTCAGATGCTAAAGCTGTGCAAAAAAATAAGCAACTAAGGAATTAAAAAACAAAAAAATAAACAAACAAACAAAAAAACACTACATTCAAATGAACAGCTCCTCTTCCCCTCAGTCTTTACTATCTAGGGGTGGTTCCTATGGAATATCAGAAAAGAAAGTGAAAATCCCAGACCCCTCTCACAACATGCCTTTAGTTCTGTGTTGGAAAACATATGAAAGGAGCTGGAAATACGAGGGGGGAAAAAAGAGTAAAAAAAAAAAAAAAAAAAGCCATCCGAACTCAGCTTCTAAACTCTCATCTTGGAAAAGACCAACAGTGTTTCGGGTTTGGTGAAGAATTTTCCTGCTACAAAACTGACTAGCGTGTGTGTGTGTGTGTGTGTGTGTGTGTGTGTTCCCATCCAGCTCCTCCATTTTGAATTTGAACTCTGTATTTCCCCTGGCTGTCCATGTCTCCCGGATTCCTTTCACGAAATGGCCACAGGGTGGGAAATGCATGTGATTTAAAAAAAAAAAAAAAAAAAAGGGCCCTCGGATGGCTGGACTATCTGCCCCAAGCGTCAAGCTCCGGGGATCACTTAGGGGTGTGATTGTAAATTTGTGGCAAAACTCCTTCCCTCAGACAGGGCCAGCCAGGCACCCACCTGTGGGCCTAACGCACCTGAGAATTCCAACCTAAGCCCTAGGTAACAGTGCGTTCCTCCCCGCCTTCGCGCATGTCTTTAGAAAGAAAGAACCGGTTTGTTGAAATGGAAGTCACATACCATAAAAGTCACTCATGTTCTGTATATTCGGAGGGTGGTATAAGAGCACATTTTCATCACCCCCCCAAAAAACAAAACAAAACTGGGTACCCTCCCCCAGTAACCGCCACTCTCTCTCCCCCCCTCTCCCCCCTCCCCTCTTCTCTCTCTCTCTCTCTCTCTCTCTCTCTCTCTCTCTCTCTCTCTCACACACACACACACACACACACACACACACACACTCTGGTCTACTCTCTCTCTCTGGATTGGCTCCCCGAGTTCTGCATACGTGGAACCAGACCACACGCTACGTGATCCTTCGGGCCTGACTCCTTTCGCTTTGCGTGTTTTTAAGGTTCTTGGGGCCGCCAACCTGCCCCCATTTCCCCAAGGTCTGCCTTCTCCGATCCTCCCTGCACATCCGACCCAGCAAAAGGGCCCTGTCCCGGGCTACCCCCCTCTGAGGCGTCCGCACACCGGCCTGTGCCATTGGGCTTGTCCCCAACACCTTCTGCTGCTGATAAAACACCCACTCCGAGGGGCACCCCCTGTCCCATCCCTGACCAGAGCTGCATCTGGGGCAGAAAAGGGACTCCACACTTTTTATGGAGTTGGCCACGTATGTGTAAAAGTGCACTTCGTGTTTTTTTTGTTGTTTTTTTAGAACCATCGATTAGCTGGCCACCACGCCTAGCGCCCCAACCTCATGGAGACACTGTCCACGTCGATGGGTGGGAAACCGCCTCTCCTGGTGACTTCTCTGCTTCCAACTCGCTCAGGGGTCTAACTTTGAGGGGGTTTTGTGTGTTTTTTTTCTCTCTAAGCTCATCCTATGGCTGGCTCATCCTGGGTTCCCATGAACCCAGGGTAGGCCAACACAATGGGGGACCCCCACCACCCCACTCTTTGTGACTGCCCTCGACCGACCGCCTGCCCAGAGAATCCCAGCCAGACTGATCGGGTCCTCTGGGCATTGTATCAGAGTTGTGTTCTAGCACCTTCTGGGCTTAAAAAAAAAAAAAAAAAAAAAAAAGGAATGGATTCCGCTCTGGGATAGATATCCTAAAGCCCCCTAAAAATTCCAGAGCTGCAGGGAGGGGCGGGTGCTGGGTTCATGGGCCACCAAATGGCGGCCTCTGGTGCCCACCATTTCAACGCCTCCTGGGGAGAAAGGCTTTGGCTCATGGGATTGGAAACACCCATGACACCCCCTCCTCTTCCCGCTTATTTTTTCGAGAAAAAGAAAAAGGAAAAAAAAAAAAAAAAAAAAAAAACGCCTGTCCGAAAGAATGTATTTTCTTGAAGACTGAGGCCAGGCTATCCCCTCCTTTTGTGAATTTCAGAAGTGACTCGCGTGAAATCACAAAACCAGAGCCGCAGCCCTGGGGAGGGAGGGGATCAAGGGCAGGAACGATCTTTCCTTGCATTCAAGGGCAGGAACGATCTTTCCTTGCATTCGGTCTCCCGCCTTTTCCCAAACTGTAGGGCGTTTTTCCAAACTTTACTACGTGGCTGTTCAAGGCTAGAAAGGCCCCCCCCCCCCCCCCCCCCGCCTCATCCCCCAAAATGCAGATCTATGTGCCTCTGACGGAGGGAGCCCCCAGCCTCTGGCCCCATCCAGTGAGCTGAAAGTTGAGCAAACAAAGGAGCAGGAGGACTCGAGGCGCGCGCGTCTCAACTCCACGCAGAATTCGTCGTGCGAATTCGATCTTAAAAGCCCTGCTCTCCATGCGGCTCCCCGGGCCTGGCGGGAGGGTGTGCTTAGACAGAAATGGCCCCCATGCCTCGGCATTGTCCCCTTCGCTCCTCAGGGCTCAGGGCTCAGGGGTGGGTTGTGTGTGTGTTTTTTTATGGGGCGCCACCTGCATACCTACCCTTGGCAACCACGCGCTCACCAGCGCGCCCTCGCCCTCGCCGCTCCCAGCCGCGCTCTGCGCCCGCACATGGAAACTTTTCCATCGCCACCAAGTTGCCTTACCTTCCACAGTGTAGCCGCCAGCCGCCTTTGTGATTCCCTGCGAGTTCCAGGACCCCTCCTCACCTCCCTCCGCAGCCCATGGTGGGGGGGGAGACACAGTAACTCCCCCCCCGCGTCCCTTCCTCCCTCCCTCCCTCTCTCCCCCCTCCCTCCCCGCTCTTCCCTACCCCTACCCGAGGCTACTCAAACAAAAGCTATCAGATTGCAAGCGATAGCGCGTGTGGAGAGATATTGCTTATTAACTATGTACAAAGGAAGTGCGGGGCGGGGGGGGGGGGACGACAAAAGGGGGGGTCGCCCCACTGTTCTGGCCTCAATTCCAAGGCCAGCAGGGCTGCGCGCGTCGCAAAAACAAAACACGCTCCTCTTCTCTCTCCTCCGCCGCCCCGGAGCCTCGCGCTGCGGCCAGAGAGCCACGGCATCCAGGAGTCCTCGTGTTTTGGGGGTGCGGCGCCTGCACCCCCACGTTGCAAGCACATCGGCTCCAGCTATACACACCCACTCGGGCGCTCGGGTGCCGCGTGGCCACCCCCTCTCCAGCCGGGCAACCAAGTGGGAGGTCCCCGAGCCCGCGGGACCCGGGCGGGACGCGCTCCCCTGAAGCGCGGAGTTGGCACGGGGCACCCCCGCTTTCGCACCTTCTTTCCCTCCCCCCCCCCAGCCCCCTTCTCGGGGCTGCACGGCAGCGGGATGCGGCACTCGGCTGGACCGCTCTCCCCGCACCTCCGAGCCACACACCGCGCGGCCCTGGGGAGCCGGGGGGCGAGCGAAAGTGACGGGAAAGGCCCAGAAGCTTCAAGAGCCGAGGGGTGCCCGGCGCGCGGCCAAACGGGAGGCCGCGCCGAGGAGTTTGGGGAGGTGTGCTGGATGCGGGTCCTGAGGTTAACTTGCACTCTCCCCCCTACCCCCCCACGCCCCGGCCAGCGGGCTCCCCGCCAGCAGACACCGAGTCTGCCCCGCGGCCAGGGCTCGGCGCGCCCTCGGGAGCGCGGTCCCCGCCGCCGTCCGTGCGCCGCGCTGGGTCCTCTCCGCGCGCCCGGAGGGGGACGGGGTGCGGGCGGCGGATCCGGCCGCGCGCAAACTTCCCCGATCGCGTCCCAGCGCCTGGCGGGCCACGGGGCGCTTCGGAGACGCTCGGGACATCGGGAGAGAAAGCCCCCGAGGCCCTTCTTGCGGGGGGGGGGGGCGTCAGTCACCAGCCCGGGCCCCCGCGCCGGGCCCCTCTGCGCCCCACCCCGCCGCTCCCGCGCGGAGGGGGGCGGGTAAAGAGGGGGGGCGGTCGCCACGACCCCTCGGATTTTCGCCAACAGGGCGCAGCCCGTCCGTGGAAAAGTTCCGCGGGCGGCGGGCAGATACTCACTTTCTCCGCTCGTCGGCCAGACGGCGAGCACGGCGGCGACGAACAGGAGCGCCCACAGCGAGGCCAGGGAGCCCCCTCCGAGGGCGGGCTTCATCCCTGCGGCTGGGGACAGCACTCTCCTTTCTCCAAAATAATAAAAAAGGGGTGGGGAGGGCAAGGGAGAGTCACCAGCGCAGTCTTCGCCCCCCTTCTCCGAAGGCGAGGGCGAAGGAGACAGGAGTCCGCAGGCGGAGCGGACGGGGCGGGCGGCGCGGGGGGCGGCTCAGCGGCGGCCGAGAGCTGGGCGCACCGGAGAACGCGGGGCGCACCGGGCCGAGCGCTCGGAGGCGGCGGCGGCCTCCATTTTCAAAGCAGAGATGGGGGTGGCGGGGGGGGGCAACTGCACCGAGAGGGGGGCAAAGCCCAAATCCGTCCCGGCCCCGACCGCGGGGGGAGGCTGCCCGCTGCCTGAGCCCTGGCGGCGGGGAGGGCGCGATGCAGTTCGCAAGCTTCGCCCCAAGTGCCGGGCGCGGGCGAGGCCGCGAGATGCGGCGTCAAAAATGAATGAGCGGCCCCGCTCCGGCGGGTCCTGCGGGCTCGCCGCCGCCGCCCGAATCCGGGGCGCACACAAAGCGGCGGGCCGCCCGCGCCGCGCCGGCCCCCGCCCGCCGCCGCCGCCGCCGGCCCCGCGCGTGGGGGCTCCGGCTCCGCTGAAGGTCAAAGCCGAGCAGCTCCCCCGACGCGGGGGAGCGGGGCCGAGGGGCTGCAGGCTCCCGCACGGGCGCGCCGGGGGCAGACGCACGGGCTGCGTCCCCCTGGCTCGCCCGCCCGCCTCTCTCCCGAGCTCGCCCGGTGCGCTCGCGTGTCCGCAGGTTTTTTCCCTTTTTCTCCCCCCCCTCCGCCGAGCGCGGAGTGAATAGCTGGTAAACAAGAGCCTCAGCCTCGCCGCTCTGCTGCCGCCGCCGCCGCCGCTGCCACACACACTGGCGAGGAGGGCTGGCGCGCTCGCTCTGGGGTCCGCGCACCCGCTCCGCGCGCCCCCGGGAGCCGCAGCCGCCGCCGCCGCGGCGCGCCCAGGGCCCGGCCCAGCCCGGCGCGCGCCAAGAGCCGGAGAACTGGATCGCGGGGACGTGCGGAGCGGAGCCGGAGCGGCCGGAGCAGCCGGAGCGCTAGGTGCAGGGCGAGCAGAGAGGCGCCGCCCCCGCCCCCCGCACCCCGCCCGCGCGCCCCCGGACGCCCGCTCCCCGCCCGCGCGCGCGCCCCCTCCTCCCCGCTCCGGCCCCCCTCCCGCAAGACTCCAAAAACAATGTCCCAGGCGCCAGTCCGGGCTGGGGAGAGGGGGGCCGAGCGGGGGGAGAGGCGAAGGGGAGGGAGAGGGGTGGGATGTGGAGGGAGACGGGTGGGATGGGCGGGGGAGGGAATGCGGGGCCCGAGAGAGAGGTTCATTGAAAAACAACACAGCGCGGTTGGAGAGCGCGTTTCCCTCGTTTCTTGAAAAGCTTCATTGTTTCTCGCAGCTGTTGCAAAATAAATAAAGAAGTGCGTGCATGCTTGCATGCGGCATTTTTTTTTTTTTCGCAGCCCGCTGGGAAGCCCGAGCCGGGCGGGAGGGGCGCACCTGGGAGCAAGGAGAGACCCCGAGGCTCCCGAGGCGGCGGGCGCTTTCCCCCCCGCAAGGAAGCCCAGAGTTGCGGGGCTCGCGGGGAGCTGACGGGGGGAAGGGCGCGGCCCGTGGGGCTCGGCCGGGGGATGCGAGGGGAGACGACCCGCAGCTGGGGAACGGGGAGGAGGGGGGGTTGAGGTTCAGACAGGCTGCCCCGCGCGCCCAGGGCGCGTGCCAGCGCCGGCCGCTAGGGGGCGCAGCGGGCGCCCTGGCAGGCTTGCCCTCCGCCAGAGGAAATGTGGGGGCCCGGGCTAGGGGGGCCCGGCGCGCCTGGGTCGCGCTGGCGTGGCCTCGAGGACCCACGGGCCTCCCCGAACGCTTCTCGCGCTGCTCGGCGCTCCACCACGTGGACGGCTGCGGGGAGCGGCCGAAGCGCGTGCACGGTGCGGGCTGCGGTGGCTGCCCCGAGGCTAGGGGGTGTGTCCTAGGGGGGCCCCCAAAGCCAAAGGTCGGGGACAGGGGGCCTGTCTCCCTGGTTGGAGTAGGGACCTTGGAACCCGCTGCATAGGCGCGTGATCGGTGGTCACGGCGCAAACCCTCCCGCACCTGCCCCGGGCCCCCGCGGGCACCTCCCTCTGGCTTCCTTGTCTGTGGAAGGGCCCAGACACCAGCCCCCCAGCCCAGGGCTCCTCTGGGGGCCCCCCAAATCGTCCCCAAGGAGGGTTCCCCAAAGCCAGAGCGCCCCAGGGCTGCCACCTAGGCGGCGGAGACAGACCGACCAGGTCCGTTAAGGGGGGCTGCCTAGCAATGGCTGGAGAAAGGGAATTCGAAAGACGTGGACTTAAAAATAAAATAAAAGAATTTTTTTTTTTTAAAGGAGAGCAGCCCGCGTCGCCCTCCATGTGATGGGGTTCCAGGACTCCGGCTCGTGGGCGTCCATAATCAATAAAATAAATAAAAAGAAGGCGGCTGACCCACGTCCCCGACTTCCAGATGGAGGTGTTTGTCTGCTCAGCGGCCAGGCTGTCTGGCCGGCGGCTTCTCTGCTGTAAGGGAGAGGGATCGGGAAAGTGGCCACCATGCCGCCCGTCGTTTTGGGATTTGTTTGTTTGTTTGTTTGTTTTAAATTCAGAGCTAAACGCAAGGCAAAAGCGATCCTCCATGGCGCCTGGCCTCCCCGGACCCCCACCCCCACCTCCACACCCACTATTTACCCTCTGGATCCGTTTTTTGAGCTCGTTTCAGTGAGTCCCTTGTATAGAAGGAAAGTCGAACTTTTTTTTTTTTTTTTTTTTTTTTTTTTTTTCCTGAAGAGAGCTATGCATGTGGGATTGTTTTTGCCCGAGTGAAATTCAGCTTCTTTTCTTTCTCTCTCTCTCTCTCTCTTTCTCCCTAAAATGTTCCAGTTTTCGGTGATCTGGACAGGCACCAAGGAGCAAGTCTATGAGGATCTTTTAAGAAAAACAAGTTACATGGTAGCCGGTGCCGTTTAAAAAAGTGGGAATGATTGAAATGCAAGTCCACGGGGTTTTAAAATATTTCTTCCGAGGGCTCCCTGCACCAGGCTTGGTATGCATGCGGACGGAGCCATCGGCACTTTAGTGAAAAGGAAAAAAAAAATCAATATTCTTACAGTCTTGCTACATTGGGTGTTTAGCATTTTTTTTTTTTCTTAAAGCACGTACTTGTAAATCCAGGCAGAAGTTTTAGAGCTGACTTTTAAAAGACGGATGCTAATCTAAAAATCTTTAAATGCTACACACTATAGTTTTAGGATTCATAATAAAATCTCCGGTTTAGGGGGCCCTCAGGACAGGAGATACATAAATAAGGAGAAATCCTTACTTATTTCCATTGTTTAACCAAAAACCCTTTCCCTTTTATATGTACCGTGTTTCCCCGAAAATAAGACATTCTCCGAAAATAAGACCTAGTTACAGGTTTCCTTCTGAGTGAAATATAAGCCTTCCCTCCGAAAATAAGCCCCCCCCCCTGCCCCAAGCTAAACATGAGAGATTTGGTCCACTGATTCCGAAAGAAATAGAGTCACAAGAAATTCACCAGGAAATTCAGGAATTGGATTGTTGTGATGATGTTCCAGAAGATGATGACATGATTGTTATTGAATAAATGAGTAAGTTCTTGATACTGTAGGATTCACAGTTTGTCTGGTTTGTGTCGACAACTACCGTACTACCGTACCGTATACAGGTAATAAATATCCTTTGTTTTCATTTATCAATAAATGTGTACCGTATTCTTCTTCATGGAAAAAATAAGACATCCCCTGAAAATAAGACCTAGCGCATCGTTGGGAGCAAAAATTAATATAAGACACTGTCTTATTTTCGGGAAAACAGGGTATATATATTTTAACGTCTGTGTTGTCCTAAAGTGGTAGGAAATCAGTAAGATTAAGCTATCGCAGGCAGTGAAGTTAGACACTCATTATATAGATGACTCAAAATGGAGTTTGTCTTTCAGCTCTAACTCCATCACATGGACAAAGAAGGCGATTTTTTTTTTTCTTCTTCTTCAATGATTCCCCTCTCCCTGCCGAAAGTCAGACTTAGTTTTTCAGCCTCGGGAGTGAAACCGTGGGGCCAAACAGTGCATGGTCTCTCTGCCTCACCAGCCCACAGACAAGGCACCGAAATGCGTTGTTTCCACGCCATTCTCCCCGCGAGGATTTCCCTGTGCGCTTCTCGTTTGTTACAAACTGTTTGCCTGGAAGCAGCTGGATGTGGAATCATTCTGCTCCACGCACCCAACCCCTCCCGCACCTCTCCCCGCCGAAATGCAATCTATAGGAAGGGGAAAATATGAGGCAGAGCACAGCTGACAATGGACACGTCTCAGTGGAAACACAATGCATTGTATCCTATTCCCAGAAGGCAACGCTCTCCGGCAGCAATGCGGAGCAAAACACAGCCGCACGTAGCAGGAGATCTTGGAAACACAATGATAAGAAAAACACAAAACAAAACAAAAAAACTTTCCTTTTTTTAAACAAACAAAAAAAAATGCAAGTTTTAAAACACTGCACAAAATGACAGACACCATTTTGTAAAAGCTCTTAAAAGTAAGGGCAACAGCTGGGCCGGTGTGGCTCAGTGGTGGAGCGTCGACCTAGGAACCAGGAGGTCACGGTTCGATTCCCGGTCAGGGCACAGGCCCGGGTTGCAGGCTCCATCCCCAGGAGGGGGCGTGCAGGAGGCAGCCGATCCATGATTCTCTCTCATCATGGATGTTTCTCTTTCTCTCTTCCACTCTGAAATCAACAAAAACAAACAAACAAACAAACAAAACCACATTTTTTTTTAAAGCAAGGACAACAAACACAGGTGGCAAATGTTTTAAAGCAAAAGAATGAAATGCACGGACAGATGTATTTAGGGTGTTGTGTTTTAGCAAGAGGATCCCTAAAGAAGGCAAAAACCCAGGACCCTGGTCCCCTCTGGGAGGGACGGGGGAGAGGCCCACAAACAATGGAATGTTCTTAGAAATACGCACATTCCCAGTTTCCATGAGTTATGCTTCATAACCAACACACATGCTACTCACATCTTTGTATGTCCAAACTATGAAAGAAGACGATAAAAAACATATATGGGCCCTAACTGGTTTGGCTCAGTGGATAGAGCGTCGGCCTGCAGACTGAAGGGTCCCAGATTCAATTCCAGTCAAGGGCATGGACCTTGGTTGCGGGCACATCCCCAGGTGGAGACTTGCAGGAGGCAGCTGATCGGTGTTTCTCTCTCATCAGTGTTTCTAACTCTCTCTCCCTCTCCCTTCCTCTCTGTAAAAAAAAAATAATAATAAAAATAAAAAAAAAAAAAAAAAAAAAATTCCATAAAATATATTTTTAAAATATATAAATACATGGAGGAAAGCCACAGACGAGACCATCCCAATTTTCCAATGGGGTCCTGCCAGATTCCAAGCTCTGCATATACAGGACTCTGAAGAACCGGGAAAATGATAGCAGGAAGGTCTTCTCCTTCCGCAGAAACTCCAGAGATCAGCGCGATTCCAGACCGAACCAAATCCCCCGACAAAAGACGTGTACGCGAATTCCCCTCACAGGTCCCAGGAGTCCCTAATAAAGAAGGCATTATGCAAACCGTCCGGCAGTTTCCTGAGAGGCTAGACAGACAGCGAGCCTATCGTCCAGCAACTCTCCGCCTTGCAATTTAGCCGAAAGAAATGAAAATACGGCCCAGCCGGTGTGGCTCAGTGGTTGAGCACCAACCTATGAACCAGGAGGTCACGGTTCCATTCCCTGTTAAGGACACATGCCTGGGTTGCTGGCCTCGATCCCCTGTGTGGGGCGTGCAGAAAGGCAGCGGATCCATGGTTCTCCACACACACACACATACACACACACACACACACACACTGACATTCCCGAGGGAGAGGCACTTAGC